ATTAGTAAGTTTTGCTTTCTCTATAGATATATTGCCTTTAATAAAGAAATCCATTTGTCCTGCGCTTACATTGCCTTTATTCAATTCTAATTTACTAGTGATTTGAAAACTGAATAAAAGTTTATGCTTTTCAAATATACCTGTATAATTTTTGAAAACAAAACAGAAATGAAGGAAAAGATGAAGTTAACTTGGGGGAGATTCTTATTTCAATATTACCAAGAATTTTATTCATCTACGAAGTGGATGACTGGGAGTCACAACATCATCTATTGTCATAACTGTCTTCACAATTAGACTAGTTAACTAATCCACCTTCCTTGTGCTAGTTTACATTAACTTCAGTTAAAGAAAAACAGTAGCTAATTGGTGAATGGTGACTAGCAGTGGAATCCACCAGGATGCGCATTTCGTCCTATCTGGGACTTGTCATCTGGTTATACCTGCAATCCCAGTCAGTAGGTGATGATGTCCCCACCGAGGCTCGAACCCAGTGACCATGGTTTCAAACGCCAAAGCGTTATCCACCAGACCACTTGGGCCACGACAGACAACTCTGTCTCATGGCCCAAGTGATATAACCTCTAATTACATGTCCAGACATCGTCGAAGCATCTGCACAAGAAGCCGACATGTCAACCTGAGACCGAGCACTTCGGTTCAATTAATCGACGGGAAAATCTAAAAATTCAATAAAAACAGTAGCTGTTGGTGAGATTGTTTGATTATTACTAATATTACTACTGTTAGTATCATTCCTTATGAGTCTGAGTGGAACACTGGGCTTTAACAGATCATCACCACTCCATCCTGTTATCTGAAGCCATCTTTAGCTGGCTCGACGCTCAACTCTCTGTTTCTCATTCGGTTTCCATTCAACGGCCTGGTGCGAGATTTTATTCAACGGTTTTCCCAGCTTGCGTCTAGTCCATCTCCATTTCCTGTGGCATATTTGTTACGCTACGGGTTTGTGGTTCATTTCCAGAGGTCTTTGTTGCCAATCCTTTCTAGATATCTGAACTTCGGTATGCAGCGAACGTCTACAGCCTTATAGGAGTGCTTTTCGTGATGCCTCCGTCAAGTCTATGAGCCATATAGAACCATTAATTTGGCATTATTATTATTATTAAAAATCCGAATCATATTCCTTACGCTGAAGCAAATTTCCACACTAATCTGGGGTTGATGAAAGTGTGTTTTGCTTTTTCTATCCTTTCTCACTTTGACATCTTCATCCGTGCCGCCTGGGGTTGAAACGACTCTACCTAGATAAGTGAAAGAAGTTAATACCTTCAGATTTTGCCCTTCAGCTTTGATTGTTTGATACAGGCCTAATTTATCAGACTGGTGTGTTACTGAAATGCATTCAACATTGAGGTTGAAACAAAATTCTGGCTTGTGACAGAATTCAAATCAACAATGTTTCGCAGCTATTGAATAGAAGTTTTCAAAAGCGTAAAAGTGTAACATATAAGCAATTAAAGTTGAGCTATTTGTCAGAAGTCAAGTGACTTCAAGACAGTTTTTATCAGTAGAACTGGATTAATGTTCTGTCCTGTTTTAAGATTCTTCAAAAATGCAGATTAACGACTCAACAGAGGACTGCCCGATGCATTCCGTGCTCCTAGTATCAATGTTACATCATTCCTATTGTATGTGTTTGGTGTAAATTCAGTGATCAACTTTTCTTTCCACTAAGCAAAATTGTCGTTCATCGAATCTACACGAATAGGAATGTTATAACACCCGAAACTGAAATGTGTTAGACTAAATAATTTATTCTGTTATGGAAATACTCCCTACCAGAGTACCAAAATACCGTTCATATTATGAAGCAAGTATTGTAGTTATGTTTGAGTCAATGACTAGCTAAGGAAGGATAAAAGGTTATAGATCTGGGTTTATTAGATGGTTGGAGGCAATCGGCCACAGGAAGCCTTGGCTGAAGCTAGGTTTCGTGCTAGTTGGCACTCATCAGCAAGGCGTATCTGCAACCTCGAAGGAATTAATGTCCCTTCTGAGATTGGAACCCGCGTCACCATAACGGCGAGCCAACTGGCATGGTGGCCACATTGCAAGCTTCACTGATAGAATTCAGTCTGCACCGAAGATAGGACTAGACACATTATACTAGTTACTGACTGGTGTCTGATCGGAAAGATCTCGGTTCGTATGAAATCCATCGGTCTAATACCTCGTAAAAAGCAAAACCACTTAGTTTTAAACAGATTTTCAAATACAAAAACAAACAAACAATGTAATGAACAGTAGTATTCTCACAAAGAAACATCACTTACCTGTACATCCATATGTATACACATTATATGTGAGTTTATTAATAATATTTTTAAGACGTTTCTGTAATACAACATCAGGCATACTTTTATGTAAAGAAATTTGAAAGACATCGAGATATGCAGTCAGCGAGTATTGATACATTGAATTCACTGATGACATATCGGATAAAACAAAGAATAGTATAGCTCCACGTTTAGCAGCTGGACGATAACCATCACGTAGGATATCAATATCGATTGCAGTTTTAGCGCCTAATTCTAACTTTTCAGTGACTTCTTTTGCTTTCAGTTTAGTTTCTTCCAGTGTATCGACCAATTCAACATTATCCAGCATATTGCCTGTACTTGTAGCCAATTCACGTAGAAGACTGTCTTCTAACTCTTTGAGAAGTTTTTTATTTTGACTGTCATATTAGTAAGAGTGAATAGAAAAAAAGACGGAAAGTATAATTTAGATAATCCGATAAAAGTGATTGAAGACAAAGAAGATCCTTTGAGTTATTTTCTGCTCCTTTTCATAAACTAGAGACCTACAGAGAATTTAAGACACATGTGGACACCATGTGAAGGATTAGGCGTAGTCTGAGATAAGACAGATACGTCTATCACTTACCGGATGATGTGGCCCGGATGCTTGTTATACGCACTATCCAGTCTGCATGAAAATGGTCTATTAGTAGAAGTAAGACTGATTCGAAAGAAAGCAAAGAATATTCTAATATATAACATAAATCTCTGTACACAGAACGATACTCTAAATATATCAGGTTAAAGTCATCTCGAAATGAATTAATTTGAATATCCTTTTTTTGCTATTTACAGTCTTCAGACTATTTTCAGAAAAAACTGCCAGCATTCTGAAAAGATGGACAATTATCATAGGAAACGCAGTTTGTGAAACCAGTCTTTGTAGATTTTAAGACGCAAGTCGTCATAGTGTTTGAGATCACAACCATCTTCGTAATTCCATCAGTCTATTCAGTCACTTTGAGACAATAAAACAAGGTTCAGACATGGTTGCAACGAATATTGAAGGAAAAAATTCCATTTGGTTTCTAATTTTGGCATGAAGCTGACTATAAGATATTGTACATTGACTGTTCAGTCGATTTTCTGGTTGTGCATTTGTTCATTATAGATTGAGTAATGACCTGATTTACTGAAAGCCAGGAAGGTATCTGGAACAGATGGAATTCCGCCTGATAAACACTGAAAACTGATACAAATACCTCAGCAGATAACCTCGCATCACTATTCCAGAAATTTTGGAAGGAAGGAAAGTTATCTATTGATTGGAAGAAGGGGTTATCATATCAAAGAATGGCGACTTGGTCTTTTAAAAGAACATGTGGGAAATTATGCTGTTGTCCACACCAAGCAAAATATTAAGTCCTATCATCCTGGAAAGAGTAAAGGATGGTCTGTATGCGAAAATCCACCCATAACAAGTTGGATCCAAGGAAAGTAAATTGTGTGCTGATCAAATTGCAATTGTGTGCATCATCATCGAACAGAGCATAGAAAAACAGTCGAATCTCTATATTGACTTCATCCACTTCAATAGCATTGACCGCGAAGTAACCTGGAAACTTATTCAGCAATAGGAGGTGGAATGCCGCAAATCTTTTTCAATCTCACTCAAAAGCTACACAACAACGCCACATGTCAAGTGATCTACAACGGAAAACTCAGCGAGGCGTTTGAAGTGAAGACCAGAGTAAAACAGAGCTGCCTATTATCATGGATAGTATTCCTAATTGTAATGGACTGGATTATGCGTCAGACTGTGGTGGTCGAGAAGACAAGAATACACTGGGCCGATAAGAAGACACTAGAATATCTGGACTTCGTAGATGATTCATGTCTCACACCGCACAAACCCGAAGACTTATAGGCGAAACCAAAAAGGCGTCAGAAGAAGTAGGCAGTGGAGACAGGACTCCAAGTGAACAAAGAGAAGGCAGAGATGGTGAAGACAACCAGCCAATAAAAACAACAAGCACCAACACTGTTAGCGGAAGAAATTTGAAAGGGGTTACAACTTTCCCCTGCCTAGGAAGCATTGTTTCAGCTATAGGATGCACGGATGTGGAACATCAGACGAGAGTCCGAAGGTGACGTGAAGAAAATCGTGTCAGAAGGAGATGAGAGCTTATAGGCAACTGTGGAACCAACTGATGAGAATCACACAAATCGGGATGAAATGGGTATGGGCTGTTGACTGTCTGTGTTCCACTCAGAGCCTATGTGATTAATAATAATATAACAGTAATGACTTAAGTTGAATGACTGGAACTAAGGTCACAGAAGAGTTTAAGTAATGAGACCTTGAATTACAGTCCCATTAATTTGTCGAGGCTAACCAGTGACTCAGAAGTCATCATTTCCAATTCTCATATGACTAAGGATTTCATTTGAATTTCAGTCATCACATTAGTTCTCCAAACTCAAAATAGGAACTGAATACATCTCAGTCATGATAAATAATTACCCAATAGAACATAAATTCTTAGAGTTTTTATGTGTCTAGGTCATTTAGCATAGCTCCTTAGAGTAAATGTTAACTTGGCATGAATGATGCCTATTTCAGCCGCTCTACATACTGTACATTGACAAATTCAGCTTTGAGATTCTATGCATACAAAGATAACTATACACCATCATAACATTATTCGCTGTATTAATATCAAAGGAATAACTCACCTTGTCTCTCTAATTAAAGATTCCCTTTGTTCCTCCAACTCACATCGTTCTGATTTCACAATAACACTTAACAATTGGTCTTCTAATCCCTTCATTGTTACAGTATAATTAATAACCGTGGCTTTACTAAATACATCTGGACCATATTGAGGATTAGATAATTTTGTATTGAGGTAAAGTCGGAAATTAGGATCATAGTCAACTTCTTTGTCACCCAAAACAACATAAGCTCGATTCTGTTAAATGGAAGTAGAAAAAGTTAAGAGCAGTGCAGATGAAAATTCATTCCAATATTCTTATGTGGAATGTTTAAATTTTAGTTTATGTAGTATTGTTACGTCTGAACCCAAAGAATAGGTCAGCATAATGAAGTACAATAATACAGTCTGATAAAAGTTGTCTGTAGAGGCTTATCAGATTGCTTAAAGTTGACTTTCGGAGCATGTCGACGAGGAGGGTTGAAATGGTTCACAGTCGTGAAGATGTATTTTATTATTATTATTATTGTTCCCTTGGGTTCCTAGTGGAACATAGGGCTTCAACTGCACGTCTCCACTTGCTTTTGTCTTCTGCTGTACTTTTCACCTGCGTCCATGTTAATCCATACTGTTTCAGTTCCTCTTCACACGATCTCCTCCATGTCACCCTCGCACCGACGGACCACTCGCTGCTTCCATTTCGGGTTCCACTCTAGGACCTGACGCGCGATATCACCCAGTGGCCTGCTCAGCGAGTGTCCAATCCATCTCCACGTTCTCCTGCATATTTGTTTGTTCCCATAGTTTCTTGTTGGTGGTTCTTTCTGGCCATCTGATCTTGAGTATAGAGCGAAGACAGTTGTTGATAAAGGTCTGCAACAGGCTGTTGGAAATATTCTTTGTGACTCGCCAAGTTTCTGATCCATATAGAAGAAGTGACTTGACGTTTGTATTGAAAATCCGAATTTTGTTGTTGATGCAGGCTGAGTGACGACGATTTCCAGATTGGTTTCAGGTTGATGAATGTGTTTCTCGCCTTCCCGATTCTCGATTTGACATCCTCGTCCGTTCCTCCTGTAGTTGAGACAATGCTCCCTAGATAAGTGAAAGAAGTAACATCTTTCAAATCCCTCCCGTTGATGGTGATTTGCGCTGGATATTGCTGCTGCTGTTGTTGTTGGTTGGTTGGTCGTTTGGTTATTTTCATAACCTTCGTCTTGTCTATGTTCACCTGGAGTCCTGTCTTTGCTGCTTCTTCGACCAGTTTGTTGGTTTTCGCCTGTAATTCTTCGATTTCGTGTGACACCAAACATAAATCATCCGCGAAATCCAGGTCTTCTAGATTCTTCACGTCGGTCCAGGATATCCCTGTCTTCTCGTTTCCCACTGTCTGACGCGTAATCCAGTCCACCACAATTAGGAATATCATTGGTGATAATAAGCACTCTTGTCTGACTCCTGTGTTTATACCAAACGCCTCGCTGAGTTTTCCGTTGTGGATCACTTGACATGTGCCGTTGTCGTACAGTTGTTGAATAAGGTTGATGAATATTTGGGGTACGCCGTGGTACTCGAGTAGTTTCCAAATTACTTCGCGGTCAACGCTGTCGAAGGCCTTCTCAAAGTCTATGAAGGAAGTTGAGGTAGAGGTTTGATTGCCATTCCATGCTTTGTTCTGTGATGATGATGCGTAGAGTTGCAATTTGGTCAGAACATGATTTGCCTTTGCTGAATCCAGCTTGTTCTGATCGGAATTCTCTATCCAGTGCGTCCTTTATTCTCTCCAGGATGATGCGACTCAGGAATTTCCTTGGCGTCGACAGGAGCATGATTCCTCGCCAGTTCTTGCAGAGTCCTAGGTCGCCCTTTTTTGGTACTTTCACAAGGTAACCTTTCCTCCAGTCAGTAGGCACCTTTCCCTCCTTCCAGACCTTTGGCAATGATGGAGTCAGCATATCTGCTGTCGTCTCTGGGTCCACTCTCAGTGCTTCAGGGAGTATTCCATCCGGTCTAGCTGCTTTTCCAGCTTTCAGAAGCTTGATTACATTTAAGACTTCAGCTTTCATTGGAGGATTGGTGTCAACTTGCAGTTGTGTACGTGCTGTTGTTGGTATTTCTGGACGGGTTGCAGGTGGTGGTCGGTTCAAGAGTCCTTTGCAGTGATCCACCCATTGTTCAATCTGTCTCTCTTTCTTGGTGATACGGTTCCCTTGACTGTCTTTTATAGGTTTCACTTGTGTTGATCTCTTCCCGGATAGAGACTTGGTTATCTGATATAATCTCCTCAGGCCCCTTCTGCCTTCTCAGTGTCAGTAGCTAGATTGTCGTAGAATTGTCTTTTGTCCTTCCTCGAGGCTTTTAGCTTCACCTTGAAAGTCCCTTGTACTAGATAGCGGTCTGAACCCACATCTGCTCCTCTCCTCGATCTTGTGTCCAGTAGGCTCCGTCTCCACTTCCTTGAGATTGAAATGAAGTCTATCTGGTTTTTGGTGTGTCCATCTGGTGAAATCCATGTCGCCTTGTGTTTGAACACACTGCCACCAATCACCAAGTCATTGAAGGCGCAGATTTCCAAACTGATATAAGAATGATGAAGGTTTGCCTCGCCTTTCCGATTCTGGCTGGTTTTGACATCCTCATCTGTGGAGTTGGCTGTAGTTGAAAGGATGCTTCTCAGATAAGCAAACGAAGTGACCTCTTTCAAATTTTTTCGGTTGATATTGATTTGTGCTTGTTGTTTTCATCATCTCCGTATTTTCTGTGTTTACTTGAGGTCCTGTCTTTGCTGTTTCTTCTGCCTGCAAGCCTTCGAGTCTGTGCGACATTAAACGTAAATCATCCTCGAAATCCAGATCTTCTGGAGTTTTCTGATCGGTTCAAAGTATTCCCCTCTTCTCACTCCCCACTCACGGTGTTCCTCATAATTCAGACCATGAGGACTAGGAATATCATCGGCGATAGTAGGCAGTCTTGTCTTACTCTTGCACTCACTGAGTTTTCCGTTCTAGGAATTGGTTCTCGGTAAATTTTACCTCCATATATGATAATTATTGTTATTACTATTACAAATTCTCTTAAGTTATTTATTAACTTAATAGAAAGTAGAAAGTAACATTTATTCTATGAGAGAGTATGATTCGATTACTTTCAACTTTCAGTGTAATAGATAATTGTGATACAAATAGTACAACTACTTTCAGTTGTATACATATATATGCAATGGGAAGTGTTAATATATTGTACTTTATAATTTGTTACGACTTCATACAACTCACTAAGATTTATTTACGCATTGTTAGTATGACTTTATCTACAGTTGTATACACCAATAGATTGTATACAGATAGTGGTAATGAATAAAATGTGTAGTTTTTATGAGATTTCAAAATAGGATAACATTTGGTATGGTGTATTATTTTCACCACGAAATGATATTACCAAAAAGACTTTCAAAAACGGTACAGATGTAGTTGATTGGCTTAAGCACTGAATTCCCAGTCAATGACTGCCGGATTGGCATATCTCTCTCTATACTTCAGGCCAGGCAATTGGGTAAAGTATCATCAACCCTTGGATAACAACTGTGGCTAATAGTCCTATGCCAGATAGCTAATTTCTAACCAATCAATCAACCATTACAAATAAAAAAGCTTCAAACAGTTCTTCTTTTGCTCTAGTTAGCAACTCTTAAGAGTGACACTGGCAAACTATGGAGGAGATTGAATGCAAAACAACATTGGATACACATACGTAGCCTTACCATTATCAAGACTGATTAAAAAGTGTCATATTGTTCTCTGATGCAATTTTTGCAAGGTGGTGGTTGTGTTGCTGCTATATTTTGACTGAACTAGCGTATACACATATCCTAATACTTCCTCGCGTTTACAATTGTGCCCTAACGTTGCGATTACTCGACATCCGCAACGTAATTCAAAAGGCACTTGCGAAGGAATACGATAGTGTATTATTGCAGCAATCAACAATTCAAAAATCGACGAGTACCAAAAGGTATCAATTTTTAACATGCAAGATTTAGAGTAATAAATAAATGAAAGTACAATTACACAATGAAAGTATAGTACGATTATGAGTAATAAAACGGGTCACTACAGTTGTGTAAAGTGTATAAAAAAGTACATAAATCACAACTCGAATACATTACAGAATTTACCTCTCTAGTCGTAATAAGTTTGTTAACCACAACTAGTCATTATCAACGTATCAGGGAGATGATAATTAAACGAGAGAATTGATGTAGCAATTAAAAAGGGCAAAATATTCGTAATAATTAAACAAGTAGTTGCATAACGGATAGTTTGGGAAAACAAAGGAGGAATAAATGAGTATGCAAATCGATTACATAAGAACAATCATTTGGAGCACTTAATGTTAGAAGAAGAAGAAGCTCAGTAAGAATATCTTTTCAGCGGTCTCCTCAGTCTAATGTCCTGATGGCTATTTTGCTTACGATGAGGATTTATTCTCCCAGACACCTGATTTGTCACTGAATTTTGTGGTTTGGCTTATTAAAGTCAGCAGGTAACCTTTAGCTACTTGATCCGAAGTACGAATTTCGGTTCATTTACTGCTGCTGCGTGGACAATCGAATGGTAACAGTAACCTTCATATCACTAAAACTGAAAGAGTATAAATGTTTGTTGTCTGATCGCAAAGCCTACGGGACAACTGCCTGAGGTCGTTCACACATGGCCTATTTGATGAAGTGGTTCTGAGAGTTATCTCCGTATGAAGACTTTACCGCATGATACGGAATGCCTCTAGCCTAATACACCAAGCGTTTTGTAGTACATTCGAATGCATATCTTAATTACATTATTAGCTTACCTTTCTCTCTGTGATATGTCATATCTAATAAAATCATATTGTTTCTTCATGTTACTATTTTTCCTCCCTCACATTTCTGCTTACTATCGTTCTTTCGAATATCTTTTTTTTCTCTCCTGTCTTCCTTTGTGGGCTATATGGAGTAAGGAAACTCGAACTTCTGTGCAAAGTTCTATGTTGAAACCAGTGAGTCAGTTTTTAGCTTGCTTATACCCTTTACACGAAGTTATGCATATAAACCTTTTTCAATGTTGCTTCATTATAACCAC